GGGGGCAGTGTCTCCCCGAGCTGCGCAGGCGTCGCTCGCACCTTGTTGATTAGTCAGTGCTGGGAACGCTGCTATGGCGTTTCTCAGACCCGCGGCTCCTCCTCACACGCTCCAGGCGGAGGGAAGGAGGGGTAAAAGGAGGAGGCGAGCGGGCGGCCGCCGCAGCTGCAGACCCGGGGCCAGAGGAGGAGGCGGAGCGGGAGCCGCCGCATACACCCCGGCCGCCGCCGCCCGCCGCCGCCGCCGGGTTGCTGCGAGTCCTCTCCGGGCTTGAGGGCACGCGGGGCGCCCCGGCCATGTCCCGCAGCGGCAGCTGAGCCGGCTGCGGGCCCCCTCCCTCCCCGCCGCCGCAGCCGCCGCGCCCCCGGGCTGCCTGCGGCCAGAGTGCCCGGCGCCTTTCGCGCGCCCCAGACCGCAAGTGCGAGCAGCGGCGGCCGCCGAGGCGCGGGTGGTGCAGGCGGCGGCGGCGGGAGCGCGGGGCCGGAGGAGGCGGGGAAGATGGACCCGGCGCCCTCGCTGGGCTGCAGCCTCAAGGATGTGAAGTGGAGCTCGGTGGCCGTTCCGCTGGACCTGCTGGTCAGCACTTACCGACTGCCCCAGATCGCGCGGCTGGACAGCGGTGAGTCCCCGCCCGCGGACCGCAGCCTCGGCGCGTCTCTGCACGCGTGTGCCCGGGAGGGTGGGACCCTGTGGGGAGTGGGTTGCCCGCCCCCCAGCGTTGGACTTGGCTTGAGCGGCTGCCGCAGCCCTGGCGCGTCGCTCTCAACTACCCCCAGCAGCAGCTAGAGGTGTGAAAATCAAAGCCCTAGTAGTATAATTTAAAAGGACGCAAAAAAAAAAAAAAAAAATCAACATAAGGGAAGCCTCTGCAGATAGTAATCTTGGAGGCGAGCTGTCTGTCTTCACCCGCCTGTAAGAATTACTCAACCTGGGAAACCCTGTATGAGTTATCTTAGGCAACTTTCTTACAAAACAGTTGTGCTCTGGGTGGCACCTTTATTTTGGATCCTCTCCTCCCCCTCCGCCACAAGAAGGAACAGATTTTAGGGGAAAGGCTCCTGGGTGACCAATGAAAGGGATCACATTTCTCGGAGACGTTTTATTACAGCTTGTCTGTTTTGTTTAACTGAAGAGAAAGTAATTTAGGGCTGTGTGTAGAAAATGTTTTTAGCGGAGGTGATGGTATGCTTAAGGTTAATTATTAGCTTAGCGCCTTTCTAGCCTGGAAAAAAATTGAAAATACACCAAAACCTGTACTGACTTGGAACGTGAGCTTGGAACTAAGAAATGCTTGTGTTTCCTGAAATTGACAACCAGAAACCAACCAAACGTCTCCCAGCTGTTTGTTGTGCAGGTTGACATCTGCAAACAAGTAGATGGATGTGCATACTGTCAAGCAAATAGATACCTTTCAGTTTGAGAGTTCTGACATGTAAGGTGGCAGTTTAGGTGTGTTTTGTCCTTTGTGTTTTGGTAATAACTTCAGTTGATGTTGGCTTCATGCGATTTCAGACTGTTTGCAGAAACAGGCTTGCTTCTGCTGTGGGGCTGCCAGAAGCACCTGGCTGCAGGCTGGCGGGCAAGCAGATAGAGCTGTGGTCACACAGGCCAAGTCAGAACAGCACTGAGCAGAAAGATGTCATTTCAAGTCACAAGGACTTGGGTTACTCCTTTTCTGGAGTACAGTAACATGAGACGTGTAAACGTCCAAAGGCATTTTTGTTCCCGTTCTTTTCTGTGGGGTTAGATCAGACATTTGAAGTACTGATGTGAAAAATAAAGGCAGGAAAGTTCATGAACGCTGAAAAACAGTCTTGGCATGCGTGTTAGCCTTGTTTGATTGGTGGTGGTAGTGGTGGGCTTTGGGAATAAACTAAGAGTTTTAAAAGTAGTAATGACGTGCACGTGAGTTCAGGGAGGGTCAGGTGGTGTGTTGAGGCATTTCTGCTTAGAGTGGGCGTGCTTTAAATATGCGTCTATAGATCTGAATCAGAGAGAGAGAGAAAGAAACAGTGTGTGTGTGTGTGTGTGTGCGCTGACAGTGTTTCATTTACTCTTACACCGTGCAAAATTGTGCATATTGGAAGGTTATGTGAGTCCTCACCTTTTCCTACTGTCTCTCATCTCTGCGCACTCCCCCCAAACTTACTAGCTAGGTAGTGAACATTGGTGTGTGTGGTGTAAAAGTCACCCAAAAGTTTCATTAAACTGAAAGTTTAAAGAGGCTGAATACCAGTTGCAGACATGTTAGCTTTATTATCCACTTTCCTCTCTCCGCCATTCATAAAAAGGGTCTGAATCAACAGTGTACTCATCCTACACTTCTTTTTAAAATTAGGACGTGGGTAGCAAGTCTTAACAGCGTGTCATTTCAAGCTGTGGATTTTGATCACTACGTGTAATTCCAATTCTTTATTGCAAGTTTTCTCTTATTCCTGCTTGAGAATCACAGTGACATACACAAATTTGGAATCATAGCCAAATACTGCTTTATACCTTGTTTCTTTCACTTAATCCCATCATATTTAATTTTTTTTTTTTAAGCTGCATGATGTTCCATGGGATGATGGCTGTATATCTAGTCCCCTACAGTGGACATCAAGAGGCTTCATTTTTTACTATTATTAAGTTGTGATGTAATGAATACTCTTGTACATAAATCTGTTTGTTTGGGTTAGTATGTATTCCTTCCCTGCTGAGTAAGCATGTAGATCCGTTTTAAGTCCTTGATACACATTGTCAAATTGCTTTAGAGGTTGTACTCATTTATACACAAATGAGAATTTTGGGAGTACCAGTGTCCCTACAGCCTTAAAATAATAAGTATCTTACAAACAACCAAAAAAAAAAAAAACTCTGCTAATTTGAAGGGGGAAGTGTTAGATTAATTAAATTAAATTAAATTTGGATAGACTTTAAAAGAACTGATGATAGAGTCCATGCTTATGTTTTAAAATGTTTCACAGCAATGCTTAGAACATGTTAAGGATATGCCACCATGCTATATGTGAAATTTGTGCAGTCGTCGTCCTATGTATGTCCTTTTGCCGGTTTTAGTACTGCAGGTACATTTTTTACACGCACACCCTATACTTAGACATGAAAGGTAGTCATTTTCCAAATCACTTGTTTTCAAAGAAATTGAAAAACATGACAGTAGTTGACATTATGTCAAGAGAAAACTGTTGGCTATTTTAAACAATCATTAAAACCATTAAACATCTGATTTCATAACTGTTGATTATTGAAGGCCTACTATGTGCTGGTACATTTCTAAGTGCTTGATGTATTTTGTCTCATCCTTAGCACCCCATTTTAAGGACTTTGCGAGCCTTGAGATTTAGAGAAATTGAGCGACATACCTAGTAAATGGTGGACTGTGGTTTTCAGCTGACTTTCCGATTCTAAAGACACCTTTTATCTCAAACTGTACTACCTCCTTCTACTAAATGGGAGTAGATTTAGAGTAGGTCTAACGTCTGCTCTAAATAGCCCCACTGTCTCTCTGAGAGCTTGAGGACAGGAAAGTCAATATTTTTAAAACAGAGTAGACAGCGAATTAAGCGCTGGCCTCATCCATCATATCTAGACGATTTTCTGCTTCCTAAAGGAGTGGCTGAAAAGAGGTAAGGGGCAGAGGAGAAGAGAGTACAGAATCTGAGAAAGAAGGAAAAAAGCGGAGTCTGAGGGCTTAGGGTATGTAGATGTGTCTGTTGACATTACTCCTTAGGACATTTGCCATGTTTAAATACTAACTATACAATAAGTAAGAGCTTTCCAGTTCTTTGCCTCATGCATGTCAGTAATGAAATGCCAGTCAGACGCATTCAGTTTTCCATCCCCAGTGGCGAAATTTGTCATCGTATAAGATAAATACAAAATTAGTGAGCCTTTATGGTATGGTCTCATGAGTCTTTCTGGAGACTAAAAGAAAAGTACTCCAGCGGCTCTCCTTAGGAGTGAGATACATCTCTTCAGCCAGTGTCTAATCCCCGTCAGCAATGCAGTTAAGATCAGATATCTTACTTCATCATCAATTTTAGAAACTTGGTTGCAGAACCAGGTTCAACAAATGTGTTTATGACTAAGAAGAGGGTGGAGAGAATGCTAATCCTCGCCCCATCATCAACCCATCCTCACTCAAAGCTAGGTAGGTGGGGAAATTGTTCTTTCTCTGTCTCTTCAATATTTTGTCTTGGAAGGGTTTTCTGAAGGGTTGTTCTACAGCAGTGTTCTTACAGCTTTTTTGCTCTTGTAGTGCCTAAAAATTCTGTAAAACCCTGTACCCTAAGCATGTTTTTAAGTTCATTGCTAAAACTTTTCATCCTAAGTTTAAATAGTTGCAAAGGATGTCACTTTTCAGCATATTGTAAATGTTGACTTTTTAAATTGTTACATCATTTAAAAAACTCTGTACTGGGATCTATATTTAATTCCCAGTATCATTCATTTTTAAAAATGCAGGAGTAAGTTCTTAACAGTAAAAGTCTTACATCCTTCCTTTTTCTCCTTAAATTCATATTTCCATTTCCCTTCCCCTACAGAATTCTATCCCAATGTAATATAGTGTTTTTGTTTGTTCATTTGTTTTGGTAGAAGGAAGGATTTATTACTTGCAGTAAATAAAGAGAACACCGGAGATCTTTCCCAAAGCAGTGTCTCCCAATGTAATATAGTTTTATGCATGCAAGTGTCTTATTGATCACTCTGTCTTATGTAACAAAAAAGAATATAAATTGAAATGTAGTATTTTGTATTTCTTTTGGCCATAAGCCTCTTTTTATTTGAATATTTCAGGTTGTTTAAAACAAACAAGTGGAAATTACCTGTCTTAGAGAAGGAGTTCCCCAAATGCTGGAGACCTGATCCTCAACAGGCATCAGCATTTTTATTTGTTCCTTTGTTAGTCGCCCTGAGCCCTGTGTTCTTTACACCCTGGGGTAATGAAGATTAGAAAGATCTGGTGAAGGCGATGTAGATGCATTGCTTTTGTAAAGTGGGAGAAGGACCTTTGCGAAGGGGAGGTGACGAAGGACAGCTTCCCTTCATCAGGAGATGGATGTCCCTCCATCCCAGTCTTGGCTTCAGGCAGATCAGTTTTCAGACAAGAGAATATTTGGAAGTTGGGGATTTAGAAATTGACTCACGTATAGCTATGATGGTGAACCCCTTGGGAAGTGTTGGCTTTGCTTCAGACACATATCCCAGTTCAAAGAATGCTGGTCTAGAGCAGTGAAATGTGAGCTTATGGTCCTGTCTGCTGAAAGAAGGAGGAAGACCAAGGCTGCGTGAACTGCCAGGGACAGAGAAATAAAGATGGTGGGCATTGGAGGCAGCTGCGTATAAATTAGCAGCAGTCTGTCCCTCCTAGCTTTGTGGAGGAATCAGAGTTGACTCTAAGCCCCAGGTGTGTTGGGACTGTGGGAGCTTTGGTATTTGCTTTTTGCTGAGCTGCTTCTCTAACTTTACCATGTAAGTGCCTGGAGGGCTGATGGTGCAGAAACAATGGCGGTGAGGGTCCAGTGAGGCAGTTTGCAAATGTCAAAGTCCAGTCAGATGGCAGTGAGGGTCCACGTGGCTGTTTGCAAATGTCAAAGGTGTTTATAGATTCAAGTTTTA